CGGAACTACATCCACAGGGCAGATGCCAAGCAAGAGGAGGACAGCTATGAAATCTTCATATGCCATGCCAATGTTATACGCTACATTGTCTGCAGGTAGGCACTGCCTGGCCCACAGGGCTGGAGGGTGTAGACCTAGAGAAAAGCCCAGACCACAACCCGTCCCTTCCCTTTGCCGCCTGCCATCTCTGTGGGTGTGTGGCTGCCCCTCTGTCTCCTCTGGGAGCTTCCGGGCCTTGTCACACAGCTGGAGAGTCCTGGTCAGCTCTCTGGTGGAAAACGTCTGTGAGGTGGGGTTTCTCTGATTGTTTTGGCAGAACAGCACAGGTGGACGGGGCCCTGGTGTCCCGAGGGTCTTCTGGGTGGACAGGTAGAGCTGCCGTGGTCAGGGTACTGTATGCTGGGCTTCCAACCCTTTGGTGATGGAGAGATACCTGGGACTGTGCAAAAACCCTGTTTCCCCTCAAGCGGGTGCCAGCGACCCTGGCAACAGTCACCAAGACCAGCTCGGAGGGGATTCTGCTTCCTGCACTCTTTGTTCCTCCCTGAACACCTTCTGAGGGCTGCGCCTCTTCCTTGGGTGTGTTGAATTTGTTTCTTCTCTCTCTTGCCTTTGAGGGGCTGGAGATAGAGCCCCGGGGCCTTGAACACCTAGGCCACCAGGCCATTTCCCAACACTGTGACTGCCCGTGCTGGTGTCTGCTCTCTGGGTCGTGAACTGTGACTGTGCTGGTCACAAGTGCGACTTGTTTGCTGCTCAGGCTGCTCTGCGGGGTCACCTGTGTTTTGGACCTTCCCTACACTCTGGTACCATGGAATGTTCTGGGCTTGTATGTTTGGGATTTTTTCCCCCCTGATTCTGGGGATTGAACCCAGGGRCACTCTACCACTGAACTACATCACCAGGCCTTGTTATTTTTTTGACAGGGTCTTGCTAAGTTACAAAGGGTCTCACTAAATTGCTGAAACTGGCCTCAAACTTGGAATCCTCCTGCCTCAGCCTCCTGAGTCACTGGGATTATAGGTGTGCGCCACTGCACCTGGCATGACTCATGTATTGTATTGGTCTTAGCTCTGGAATCAGCCTGTTTTCCATGAATGCCAGGGCAGCGTCTATGTGCTCCTTGATGGGAAGGCTCTTGCACTTCAAATATGTAAAAGGACTGACCAAATTTCAGTAGAGTGCAGACTTTGAGAAGCAGTGGAAGCTCCACCCGTGGACCCACTAGAAAACATTCAGCAGGGCTTTCGTCACCAAGGACTGCCTCTCCTCTGCACCCAGAGTCTGGTCAGTGGTACTGTCTGGAGTGAGGCGGTCTCTCTTTCTGTCTGTGGTGACCCATCTGCTTAGGCATCCCATATGTGGTCCAGCTAGAAGCCCAAGGATGGTGGGGGATCCCCAGAGTCAGAGAGTGCCCCCTCCCCAATGCACAAAGCTGTCGGGGAGTTGGGATCCTCCCCTGGCTCATGGTGGCAGGAAGGGATGCGGCTGGTGGCGGGGTGTTGTGCTCAACCTGCAGCAAGAACAAGGTTCCCGGGATGGCCCATCCCCTGTCTGCTGGACCTGTGTCGTGCACTTCCTGCCTGTGATCAGGCCATTCTGGTACTGTGTGTGCTTCTGTTGACACCACATTATCTTGTGAACCCTGACAGTTATGGGAGGTGACCCTGATGCCAGGATGCACCAGAAGCCCCGTGAATGGAGTTCCCCAGGGCAGTCAGGGCGGCCACACAGTCACACGGTTTCCACTGTGCTGTCTGTAGGAGCACGCCCTGCAAACTATGAGGGGTGATTTTAAAAAGCAGCATGGAGCCACAGTGGTGCACGCCTGAAATCTCAGGAGGTTGGAGCTGGAGGATCAAAAGTTCAAGGCCAGTCAGCAACTTAGACCCTTTTTTTTTTTTTCTTAATGTTTTTATTAGTTGTTGATTGTCCTTTATTTATTTACTTACATGTAGTGCTAAGGATTGAATCCAGTGCCTCACACATGCTAGGCAAGTGCTGTACCACTGAGCTCCAGCCCCAGCTAGACCCTTATAGCTCAGTGGTGAGGCATCTTGGGTTTCAATCCCCCGTATTAAAAAAAGGAAAAACAAACAAACAAACAAACAAAAAAAACATTCACCAAACCCGCAGCAGAAAAATGTCACCATGTCCACTGGGTTTGAGGATCAGATTGGCTTCTGAAGCATGAAGGACATTTGGTGACTCAAAGAAGATGTGATACTGAGCTTCTTAGCAAGTGTTTATTGTTCTTAATAAGCACTTTTAAGGGCATGAAAATGCTATAGGGTTGTGGATTGCACCTCCATCCCCTGGCACAAAACATTGAATTTTATGAGAAATGGATCTAGTGTACTTTGTCCTCTCACTTGTTACATTGTAAAGAAGAAATAAAATTGCATGCCCTGCAAGGAACTTGTTTGTGCTGATCACACAGCTTGAGTCTGGTGGAGCCCTGGTGGATCCAGGGGCCCTTTCCTCTGAGCACCCTCGAGGGACCAGCTCTCCCTCCAAGGGACCAGCTGAAGTGTCTGCTCTGCTCTGGTGCTCCAGGGTCTGGGCCTTGCCTGTCCCTCAGGGCACTGTGGCCCCCTCTGCATGAGCTTCCTCTGGCATGTTCTTTCTTCCCGCAGAGCGCTGCAGTTCCCTCCAGAAGGCTGGCTCCGTCTCTCCCTCAACAATGGCAGCATCACCCACCTCGTGATCCGACCGGATGGCCGAGTAGCACTCAGGACCCTTGGGGACACGGGGTTCATGCCCCCCAACAAGATCACCCGGTCTTGAGGGCCCCTCTGGGACTCCACCCTTCTCTGCGTGCAGCCTGGTTCAGCCTTCCCTCTTGTTCCTTGTCCAGGTTGCAGTGCAGCTTTGAGGAAGATGTTGTGGGAACGTCTCAGATGCTGGGGACACTTGTGTCTGGCCCACTGAAAGGGAGACCTTCAGGCCAAACAGCCTGACTTCCTTCCTTTGGCCTGCCAGGACAGCCCCGTGGGTGTGGGATGAGGACCTTCTCAGGCAAGAGGACAGCCTGTGCTGGGCTTTGAACAAGCCCTGCTTGCCATCCTTCTGGACCACCATGGCAGGCCTGCATGGGTGGCCAAAGCAGCAAGTGACTCTGGGCTCCGCCCAAGCTGGTGCAGCAGGACAAGCTTTCTAAACAACTCATTTCATTCACATGTTCTTATTCTGAAAAGCCTTTGTCACTTCAGTGTTCRTCAATTAAAACCTATTCCTCATTTGGGTTCTTGCTTTGAAAACCAATTTCTCACCAGAGTGAGAGATCCTGACGCTGTAGGATCTAAAGGCACAGGGACTGGCAAGCCGCACAGTGGATTTGGGTGAGAGAGGAAGTGAGTCTGGAGTGCCATGTCCAGGGGTTGGCCACACCAGGCAGGGACTGCGGGCTTGTGATGGCCAGGCAGGGAAGATACCCAGGGCTGACATCTCTATCCTAGTCTGCTCCTGGCCACAGTTCATCTTCTGGGCTTGTGGGTTAACATTTGGACATGATATGCCTACCCCAAATATCTGTTAATTCAACAAAAGCAGTCCAGTTTCTACGAAGTGCTCATGAACACTTTCAGTAATCAATACAATGAATTGGGATATTTGATCCATTTCTCTGGCCTCTTTGGAAATAACTACATAATAAATTTTTAAAAATACAAATCGTGATTTTTTTTAAAGAAAACGGGAAACCTGTGCCAGGACACAGCAGTGGCAAGAAATCCCTTTCGCTGGGCGCTTGTCTGTCCTCAGCCTGGGTACCTCAGCGTCCTGCCACCCCAAGGCAGGGCCGTGCTAGGCGGCCCGCCTGTGCGGAACTTGGCGCAGGACCTGTGTGTCGCCCGGTCGCAGGGCTGCGGGGAAGCCTCTGCTTTTGTACACACCCTGCTCGGATGCCTAGTCCATTCCGAGGCGCAGTCTCCTCCCTGGACCTCGGAGATGGCAAATGGGAACCAGACACAGTTCAGGGTGGTGGCAGGGCAGGGTCTCCTCCACACCAGCCATACCTCGCCGCAACTCGCCCGCTTCGGCTCTGCCCTGGCCCTTCACTTCCGCCTCGCTCCGCCCTTGCCCTTCACCTCCACTCTGCTCCTCACTTCTGGGTCGCGTAGAGTCCATTTCATATGCCGCAAGCAAGGACCTGGGATTCTGAGTAGCCTGGAGCAGAGGAGCTGGAATGAGACCTTGGTAGAAAAACTTAGAAGGACGTAAGTCACCGGATGACCAGAAGAGCTAGCAATCTGCAGATGCTCCTGCAAGAAATCCCCAGAATGAAAACTGCTGACCTTACATTTGAAGTCAAAGTTGTGAAACGGCTTCCGGTTTTGTCTGGAAAGTTACACCCCTTTCTAGGAGCTCGCAGCGATTGTGCCCTGTATGAAGCTTCGTTGTTGTTCGCTTTTTTCCCTTTGGTATCAGTGGTTGAACTCAGGATTAACCACTGAGCACGTACCCAGACATTTTTTGTAGTTTATTTAGAGACAGGGCCTCGCTAAGTTGCTGAGAGCAGCTGTGACCTCGCAGTCCTGAGCCGCGGCCATCACAGGCGGGAGCCACCGTATAAATTCCCAGCAGACTTTCTTCTCCACAGTTCCTTGTGTTTGCTGTTCGGAGTGGTCTTCCCTGCTCGCCTTCTTAGTGGTAAGGACCAGGCCTCAGTCCTGGCGGTGGGGATGGCTGCTGGCTTCGCTTAGCAGGGTAACTCCTGAAGGCTGGATAYGGAGAAGGCAGAGGGGCAGGGCACCAGAGTCTCTACAGCATCCACACCCACGGAGGGACCTCACCATTTGGATGGCTTCATTCCAGGGTCTCTAGGACACTGACGTGGGAACCAGCTATTTGTTCCTCTCATGCTGGGGACAGAAGCCATGCCCCTGGCTCAGGATGGACAGAGATTTCTTAAACAGTGGGAACAGCAGTCCCTCTATCTGAAACAAAACTTGCACGACCTGATGGAACTGGACTGAGATGGCAACTGGTACCCCAGGACTGCTCAAGTGGATGCTTTAAGTGACGCCCACACTAGGCCCTGATCAGTCCTTGTCCAAGAAAGCTGTGAATGTTTCTGGAGAGACCTATCATCATTCAAAAGGATCTGGCTATGGTCCCTGCCAGCGCAGAGGGCACTTGTTTTAGTGGCACCTGAGCTTGCTTTTCCCCTGAAAAGAGGAGTGGGGACTTGTTCTGGATTCCACCCACCCACCTCTTTGTGGGGAATATCTTACATCATCATCTTCAAACTGAAGACTTCCCGGAGCCATCCTTCAACTGTGCAAGAACTAAAAACAACATGGAAGCTGTTAGGCTGGAAAGTCTGGTACCTGGTAACTCCCAGCGGAACTCCTGTTGGTTTGAGACTGCCCAGTACATGTGGCTTCCTACCTAGCTCTGAGTTCAGCACTGCACTGGAGATGGGTGACAAGCTGGAGCCACACAGCCTCCTGGAGATGGGTGTAGCTTGCCAAGATGCCAATCAACCTGTTTGCTGCAAGTCCCGTCTTTGATGTGCTCCCTTCAATAAAAGACCAGAGCCATTTTTCAGTTGTTTAGTTCCAGTGCCTATGTGGACTGGAGGACCTATTAGGCTCTCTGTCTCCTTTAAACCTTTTTTTCTGGCTCTCTTATTCTTTACTAATCATTCTCTGGTGGCTCACACCTACCCTGACGGGGTGCCAGCTGTCCTGTGATAGAAGRTTACATGCCATCTCACAACAAGAGGCTTCCCACTGCCAAATGCAGCTATAAAGTTTGTGCTACTTTAATTGATACCAGTGTTTCTTACAACTGTGTAAGTAAAGAAAGGGGAAGAAAAAGGCAAATAAGCTGGGCGTAGTGGTGTGTGCCCATAGTCCCAGCACTGTGGAGGCCAACGTGGGAGAACTGCTCGAGTCCAGCAGTTCCAGAGGCCAGCTGGGCACTACATGGAGACCCCATCTTAAAACAAAACCAAAAGACCCCAAATGAAAATCCCAACTAAATCAATCCCTCAGGTAAATGTACTGTTTCATCAAAACACTGCTCAAAGTTTCACTAAAAAACATTCTGCCCAGTCACAGGTGAGAGATCTTTTGAAGGCATGGTGTAAAAATAAACTTACTTCATTCAGTAGTTTTTTAAAAGGACACAAGATCACCCAGGAAACAAAGCATTTACTGAGGATAGGTTCAAACAAATGGAGAAATAGTCAAAGGGGCCTAAAACTACAGAAAACAGGAGTCTGTAAAAATAGAGCAAAAACTATTTAATTTCAATCTGCACATTTACAACAATATATAGAATAATAAGGTAAGACTTTGGAGAAAACAGAGCATCTCTGTGAGTGTAATATCCATGTTTTGATTTTTTTTTTTTTTTAGAACAGAGATGCCTTTTTAAGATGCCATTGTCTAGACTGTGCTGTTCCGTCCTGTGTCCAGAGCTTGTCTGTGGCACAACGATGAAAACACCCTGTGTGACAAACCTGGATTTAAGACCTAAATATTAATTCCAATATTCCCAAATAACATGTTTATCACATGAAATAAAACTTTTTTCTTTACACAGTTCAATTCAGCAATTTTACATATGAAAAGGAATACCTACTTAATATTATTGTATAGTCTCAAAAAGTAAATTCGGGACAATTAAAAATGATTTACAAAAGGCACTGAGGTTGGCAAGAGCAGCAGCAGTTTTCGTTTTGGATCAAACACTGGACATGTCCACAGAATGCTGTGTGGGAGCCACTGTCCTGACACCTGGAAGAGACTGGCCTGCTGCAAGGCCACCCTACCTCAGGCACCCTGGCAGCTGGCAGTGTTTCCTGCTCCCCACATGGGGACAGACCTTCCCCAGGCTGGTGCCAAGGGAAAAGGTTAACGTCAACACCACAAATAACTGGAACGGACTTAAATTTTGGTTTCTGTACTGCAGCAAAATGCTCTTTTCAAGGAAATCCAATTGAAATGAATTCTAAACGTGGGATCCACTTGTATAATCTGCAATAGAAAAATTTATGCTTAACTAATTCTCAGGACAAATTTCAAAGCTAGGGAACAGGTTACAGATTAATGGTCACTACGAAGCTGGTGACTAAGGGAAGCAGAGGGACAGCTCATGTGCTGGTGAGTTTTCTGACCATCTGCATGGATCCCAATAGCTACACATTTTTTTCCAAGAGAAAAGCTACTTTCACCTACTACTCTGATCAGCAGTGTTTTGAACACCACTGAGTATCTGACTCAGGCAAACTCACTGGCTCCCTGCTGCCCATCCAGGAAGACTTGCAGACCATTCATGTTGGCCATTATCCTGCACCAGAATGTGGCTGCCCCAGAAAAGGCGAGATAACTTGCAGCTCGCCCTTGTCTGGGTGAGCACTGACTTCCCTAGCACATAACAGCAGACACAAGAGGCAGCCAGTCCAGCCTTCTAGTAGAGGCAAGCACAAGAGCTACAGGGTGATGCTGACCTCAGGGCCAGTCACCTCTCGTCCATAGCGCCTGCTCAGTATTGGGAAGTGATGGCCACCTGCAGTTTAAGGGCCTTTGCACCTTTGCCCAACAACAAACCCAGGATCATTACCCGAAACACGTATCTGAGTGTACTTTTGTTAACTTCTTCCATTTATCAGAAATGTAAATTTTATTTAGAACATTTGCATTTCTAAAATTATACCCTCAAAGTGAGGATTAATAAATTATTCAGAACATACTCTTTTATGAAATTTGACCAATAAGCCTAGGAACCCCAAGCCTCTGCAGCAAGTGCCAACCCTACAGGGCTGTGAGCTGGGCCATGTGTGCCACCCTGCGGAGATGGCTCCCGTGTGCAGGGCTATAGCGCCTGGGGCTTCCCAGGCCCGGTGAACAGGAAGCATGGCTGAGTTTCCCAGGGCTGCTGCCGGCTGCACCACTTCGCACTGGATTGTAGCTGTGAGGACATCCAAGATCTGGCAGCTGAGACTTGAACTTTCCTTTCAGTGCAGGGCTTGGCCAACTACGGAAACCAGAATAAGATCTGTTACCTCAGTGGGAACACATGCAGAGTGGAGGTTCAAGGAGAACAGGCTCCAGGACCTGATACACACACCATGCCTGGACAGGGGCCACCACAGTGCAGAGGGGGGGTGCTCCTGAACCTAGGGCCCTGGGCACTGGAAGGTGAGGAATGTGCACATGCAGATGTTCCAAAAAGAGGTGTGTGACCTTGACTACAAACGTGGTTGCTGTCACCCCGAACACTCAAGCAGCCATTCTCATTTTCCCCCAACTGGAGACATACCCCATGTGAGAGTCATGGCCATGTGGAACCCAGGCCCACGTCCAAGGACTGCACATGGTGGCCTGGCCAACGGGACTGCAATGGGGCAGGACCACCAGTCTCCAACCACAGCCACCCCAGACCTCACTTCCAACAGCGACCACATGACAGACCCTCCTCACCTCTGCCTGTCTGAGGGGGAATAGCACAGGACAGTGCTCTTCCATCTATGCACAGCTGGGAACCGATACGGGTCGACATCTGCACGTTCAAGAGCTGCCAAAACATCCCGATCGAGTTTTGATGGCTCCTCTCTAGAATGCATAATAAAAGGATACAAGAAAATGCAGAAACACCCGTGATTCCGCTACTTAGGAGGTGGAGGCTAGAAGATCACAATTCCAAGGCCAGTCTGAGCAACTCAGTGGTAGCACTACTGGGTTCAGTCTCCAGTACTGCAATACAAAAACAAAGCCTCTCAAAACATCATTAAACTCTAGAACCCAGCAAGTGAACAGAATGGTGTACAAGAACCAAACTGACTCGGGCATGTGAACCATGAAATCATTCCCACCTCAGGGATCAGCTGGAGGGAGCAAGAGGTTGGTTGACAGGGCGTGGCAACCCCACTGTCCTGTGCTGAGAATGAGGAGGTTAAGGAGAAGGTCACTAATCAGCTGGCCCCACACTGGCACATCTATCCTGCTATGGACAGGAAGCTCTGCCTACTAAAACAAATTTATTCTTAGGGCAGACCTAGTCCTGGTGGCACTGACTTCCCTAGCATATAACAGCAGACACGAGAAGCAGCCAGTCCAGCCTTCTAGAAGATAGCAAGAAGGTGCACACTCCTGCCAGGACAGCTGCATACACCTGTGGCCCCAGACACGCAGGAGGCCAAGTCCCAGGCCAGCCTGGGCAACTTAGCGAGACTCTGTCTCAGAGTGAAAAAAAAAAAAAAAAAAGGCTGGGAGATGGCTCAGTGACAGAGCACCCCTGGGTTCAATCCCCAGTACCAATTAAAAAACGAAAGAGCTATGAACTCAAGACAGAGAGGAACCAGAGTGCACATCAAACTGCGGGGAAGGGTGAGAGGAACTACAGACAGTGCCACCTGGACAAAGGGTACCACGCACTTACCCAAAGAGGAACAGTCTCTTGGTGCTGTCCCTTGTGGAGGGGGAGGATGCAGACAGGGGTGTGGGCTGGGACTGAGGTCCGCACGTCTGCTGGTTCCCCCACTCAGGACTGTTGGTGTCCAGGGACATCTTTGCCAGACCAGCTGACATCTCGCCATCTGTCCTCATCTGGTCATTTCCCAGTCCGACTGCAGCAGCAGGCGGTATGTCCTTTCTTGAAGTCAGGATCTGATCTTTAGTTTTCATATTTTTATTTGCTGTCTTGGAAAGGCTATCTTTTAGATTTCGCAAATCCATTTTATCAAACTCAAGAGTCAGACTGGAGATAGGTGAAAAAAGGGCCTCCTCTCCACTGAGGGCCTCTGGTTTCTCCACGCCTGGGATCCTGCTATGGGTCAAGGGACTGCAGAACTTGTTTCTGCTGGTGTGGGGATGGTGCTGGTCTGAGGCTCCCACTGGGTCTGCCTGCTGCCCCTGGGAAAGGCCACTGTGCTCCAAGTTTCCAAAAGCACTGACTGTGGGCTGGCTCTGATGTGGAGCTGCATTCTGTCCATTTGTAATTTCTTCCAAGCTCACGTCATTGTCCTCATCTAGAAATGCCCCCACAGAAATGGAATTGCTGCACTTCTTCCTGCTACCTGTGAGGGTGACAGAGTGGCACTTCAGAGGCCTGAGTGATCCTCAAGTGCACTGCAGACCTGGGACCCACCAAGAAACCACCCTTTAACCCACAGCCTCACCAGATTTCAAGGCAGAAACCACCTGCACTACCCATGGGAAAGGGGGAAGGCGAGACACCACAAGCCGATAAGCGCTCCTGGGCCACCCCCTCAAGGGCAGGAATGGCTGTGGTGCACCAGCTCACACCTGCAGGAGCTGAGACCATGCTGGGCCCTGAAACAGCACCCAGAACAATCCCCTAAGAACCACCACATCCTCTCCCTGTGGGTGGCGTGCAGAAGCACTACCTGAGAGCAGCACGTCCTCCCGGGATGGAAATGCTGTCAAGGCAGTAGCCACTCGAATGTGGCCCATGCTTCTCAGGAAGGAGCTTATCTGACCTTGGCTGACTGACACAGCCACATGGAAAGGTCCCCCACTGATTGTTGTCATTGTTTACACATCTTTCATTATAGCTAAGCCTTGTTTCACAT